TTAAATTTTAATTCAATGATATAATATCATTGTATAAGAAAAACGATTCTTAGCGGAGACGGTATGTCAGTCTAGGTATAAGACATATTATATGCTTTTCTATGGTATTAAATTATATGGAACTTATGAATAAATTCCTTAAAATATGCACAGTCTTATCATTGAGCATACTTCTTATTCCTTGTACTATGGTAGATTGTATGGATAGGCCATAATATTTTGATTTTTCAGTTTCATATATCCCCGAATAATATTTTTAAATTACAACAAAAACAAAGATCGTTAATATTGATTTTAATATTTAATTTCGTCCAAATTTGAATTTAAAATGTCTGTAAAAAATAACTGTGTTCATATATTTTTTAGATTTTTTGGTTACAGTATGAACTATTTACGAGAACCTTTGTGTTGAATTTGCAATCCTTAGCTATAAAAACTGAACATTTTATAATTTATTAATTACAATGATTGATAATTTTCGAGATTTTGATAAATTTTGTCAAAATTTGATCTTTAAATGCTTATAAAAAAAAACTGTGACTATGTATTTTTAATATTTTTCAAACTTATTATTTTTCAACTGTTATTGTAACAATATATCAGGAGCCTTGTATTAAATTTATACACTTTTGGGCCCAACAGATAAAACTTAATTGATATTTATAGAAAAAAAAAACTAAAAAAATTGAAAACTGAAAATGTACGTGAACAGCTCAAAAGGAGTCGAAATATTTTCAAAATTGTACAGTGTATAGGAAATGCTAATTTGAACATTCGGTGAAATATATCATGTATCTATAGTTATTCGTTTTTGAATTAAAACAAAATAAGGAAATCGCTACATGAGAAATCAAGTGAATATCCAATGTTGTAAAAAATTGAATTTCAAACCCTTATAAAAATTTAATTTGACTTTCCGGTAGAGATTTTTTTATTGATAAAAGTAGACAAACTTATGAGTAATCTTGTATTAGATTTTAAAATTTTAGATTTAAAAAGAAAAATTTTTATGAATTTCTAACTCGAAATAATTTGCAAATTTTCGTGATTTTTCCAAATTTTGTCATTTTTTGTACTTTAAATGCTTAAAAAAAAACTGTGACTAACGATTTTTAATATTTTTCATCTGTCTTTGAAACAATATATTAGCAGCCTTGTATTAAATGTTCAAGTATTTTTACTCAAAAAATAAATTTTTATTGATATTCATAAAAAAAAAAAATTATAAAATTGGAAACTTAAAATGTCCCTAAACAGTTCAAAATAAATCAAAATATTTTGAAAATGTTATCGTGTATAGAAAATGCAAATATAAACAACCACTGAAAGTTTCATGTATCTACGGTAATTTGTTTTAAAGTTACACCAAAAACCAAAATCGATTTTCTCGAAAACAGATTTTGAGTAAAAATTCCCGTTTTTCCTTAATTTTTCTTTTGTTTTTGAAAACTACTGAGAAATTTAAATTTTGACTTCCCGGATGCACCAACCATATTCACTTTCCAATCGAACAAGATACTGAAGTTGAAAATCGAAGCATTATTTCGACTACTTATCGTGTATACAGACACAAAAAAAATAAAAAAACACACATAATTGTAAAATCAATACATTCATCGTTCCACTCAGAATCTAAAACTGTGACTAAGGATTTTTAATATTTTTCAAATGCCATTGTAACAATATAGTAGGAGCCTTGTATTACATTGTCAAGCTTTTTTAACCAACAAATAACATTTAGGTAATTGATATTTTTAGAAAAAAAACTAAAAAAAATGGAAAATGAAAATTTTCCTAAACAGTTCAAAACAAATCATAATATTTTGAAAATTTCATCGTGTATAGAAAATGCAAATATAAACAACCAGTGAAAACTGCATGTATATACGTTCTGACGTTAATTTGTTTTAGATTTACACCAAAAACCAAAACCAATATGGCCTAAAAATTCCAGTTTTTCCTTATTTTAAAGATACTGTTGAAGAAAACCAGTCAGCACAGAGGATTCTCGAGAGCAAGACGTGCAGCCATGCAGGTTAATATAAAATTTTACCTATCCAGCTATCCAATGTATTATTTATTAAGAATCACATAATAATATAATATAGGGCTATTAGTTATAATAGACTTTTGAAAAAAAGTGTTCGATTCGCATGTTTTTCATTAATTACCTATTCGTAAACATTTTATTAACACATAGTTTTATCATGCAATTTTGCGTAAAACATCAAATAAGTATAGATGCATAATAAATGTATTACAAGTTTTCATTGAACAAGTGGCTGACAAACATAAGATTATTGTTATGTAAATGCTGTAAGTTCACTGTTCAGTATAGTTGGCATCAATTCAGGCGTTACTAGACGGAAATACTAGTATTGACTTGTGCTTTTACATAGGTAATAAATACATAATACTACACTATCAATTTTTCCAAGAAAATTCACAAAAAAATAGTTAGTAACTATAATAATTATTATAATACCAGTAATATGAGAAATGTATATATTAATTGTTATAATATAGGAAAGTGCATTTTTTTTTTTGGTGATTTTGAAATACTGCTTTGTTAGTACACAATTTGAATTATGTAACTACGAACCCATTTATGAAAATTTAAATTTGCATTTTTTTGCATTTTTACGTTATGTTTTCCTTTTTATGGTTCCATATGGTAAAACCAGACCCAATTACTAAGGCTCCGCTGTCCGTCCACCCGTCTGTCACCAGGCTGTATCTTATGAACCATGAAAGTTAGAAAGTTGAAATTTTCACAAATTATGTATTTTCTATTGCCGGTATTTTTAATCAAATTCCGTCAGTTTACATGTCTGAAAAACCTTTTTTTGTTTATTTTTCTAATGTTATGGTAAATACTAAAGATCAATAAGGTATCCACAAATAAATATATTTAAGTTTGTTTTATTATCTTAACAAAATAAATACATAAAAAAAATGTTACAAAACGTTTGAGGTGAATAGCATTCTACAAAATTCAAATTCATTTTTTTTTTTTGAATTAAACAGACACATTCCACAATACAAAAATTAAAATTAAATTAAAAACCATTTAAAGTGAATTTTAAACTATAATTTGTGTAATTTTTATTCCATTTTAAGCATTTTAAATGAATATATTATTGCATTTTTTTGACATTTTGGAATGCTTTTTTTTAAGGTTTTTTGGTGCATTAAATTCACAGCCCTGGTTATTACTTATTAGGTATACCTACTACTATCCATTATGAATAGTTAAAAATATCTATTTTAATTTTGAACCAAAAATACCTCTACATAAAAAAAATATTTATGTTACGAGGTTCCTAAAAAAAAAATTATTTAGAGTTTACTAAACCGTAGGTACCTATCTCGTCATTGAGTATAGGTTATAAAATGTCAATAATAATGATCTCAAAAAATGTCTTTATTTCCATAAAATTAATACATTTGTAAGGTTTTGATAGTTTGCTCGCACTGCTGAAAGAATTTGCTAAAAACTATATAGATTATATTCTTATATTCTTCTTCGTTTCAACAACCATCGACTCCACCACGATCATTGCAGCGAGTATATGCCCCATTTTCACAATGTCCGATAACGACAACAATCGTAATACCCCAAAACAAAAAAAAAACAAAGATTTATTCGTATGTAAATTGAAACATTAGTGTGATTAAATCATTTACCGGAAGCCCAAAGGACTTCCAATCATATTCCTCGCGTCCGGCAACTGCTGCAAGAAGCTGCGATGAGACGGACGCTCCAGGAAACACCATCTGTTACTAAAGTTGAAATAACATTTTAATAAAAAACTATAAGTGTAGTACAAAGATCCACGTACATTACCCTGCCCAACACCCATTTTGACTTTCGAAATTTTTTTTGTGCCAATAACTAGAACTCAACTCTTGCTAATTCCTGACTACGTTTTCATAATTCCTTCTCTGAATGTTTTCCCGAAAAGTCAAATTTTCCACGGGTGGGGCTGGGGTAACGTTACTCCAGCCCCACCCACCTTCCAAATTTAACTTTTTGCAATTGTTTTTGCAAAAATAATTAGTACTCAATTCCTGCTGATTCTTGACCATGTTTTCATAATTCTTTCTCTACTAGTTTTAACTTAAATATAATTTTGTAATTCTGTAGTAATGTAATTACATTTTATTAACTTTTTGCAATTTTTTACTCAATTCCTGCCGATTACAGACCACACGAAAAAAAAATTTGGTATGGTAAATGGTTAAAAACATAATAGTTGATATTACCATAATTAATTGGTTATAACTATGCTTGTTTAGTGAAAAATACAATTAGTTTAAGTTAATAACTTATAGTTAAATTTTCCAATTAAATATGTACACTAAATATTTCCGAAAGTTATATCAACCATTTTAGTATAGTTTTATGCTTTTTTTGTATATAAGAAATAAATATTTATTCATCATTTTGTAATTAATCAAATTGCATTTTGAATTGTTACTTATTAGAAGAAGTAGATAACATAAAATATCTTGGGTTATTTTATGACAATAATTTGAAATGGTATACCTACCCATATAAATTTTTTGACAAAGACTATCAGAAAATTAGTAATTTTAAAAAGAAATTTATGGTTAATTGAATCAAAAGCTTTTTTAACATCATGGAAAACTCCTATAACTTGTTGTTTTTTATCAAGATTATCACGTTCATGATGGTTTACTAGAAAATGGGCATTGCTAGTAGATCCATCATTAATAAAACCAAACTGGTAAATATATAATTATAGGTACTTACCGAAAGATGAGTTTATTTGTTTTGATACAAGATTGAATCAATATAAGATCTTATACACGTCGACGTGAAAACTGATTTAAACTAAAATCGTTACACTATGTTGGAGTCTCGGAGGTCTAAAACTGCATTGAATATGAAAATACAAAACAAGAACTATTGCACTTTTGAATTTTCACTGCGACTAGAGGGCAGTATTTCACGATTTGTGAAATAGCTCAGCAGAATGTTCGCCCAGCAATTCGAACGGGAAGAGATGTTGAGCTCGAGCATAATGCTTTACGTACTGTCAATCATCTGGGCACCTGAACACAATCGAGTGTGCGACGAGTTGTCACAGAAGTGGCCGTGTTGGACACACGAACAGCTGTATAAAAAGGCCAGGAAGATTGTAACCGGTCAAATGATGAACATAATGATGACCGAAATCCTAAATGTGGAACTCAGACCGGAAGTGTACCACCATCGAATGGAAAACATCCATAGTTCCGGCAATCCTATTGAACTGTACTTGACGATGGCTGTATCAAATCTTCCGGAAAAATTGCAATACAGTTCAACGAATTTGAAGTTCTACAATAACACCAGGTTAGTCTGAGATAAAAGACTCATTGATTTAAAAGACTCCCTGCAATTAATGATGAGTTCAACGATGAGCATAGTCACGGCCCACGATGACCGTCCCTTGACTGGACAGTTTACCAAAGCACTTGTGAAACTATCGAGAAAACAATGTTTGCAGGGTTTCAATAACTATAGAAGACGGTTAGGGCTGCCTGCTTACAACAGCTTTTTTGATCCCACCGAAAACATCGAAACCGCAACCGAATTGGAAAAATTGTACAGTACCGTGGAGAAGGTGGAGTTTTTAACCGGCGTGTTGACGAAAAAGTCCAGTTCCGGAGTTCTACCCACGGCCAAAGTCCTGTCTAACAGTTTTACAATTAACGCAATACTGAAAAATCGTCTCACCACCAAACACTTGTGGGCACGTTCGGTGGAGTCGAATTTTTTAACTTGGAGAAGTCTACCAGTTTAGAGTCATTGATATGTCGAAACGTGGACAATTCCGACTAGTTAAAAGCTCATAGTTCCGCGAAATTAGTATATATTTAATAATATAATATCGTTACTGTAGGACCAATTATTAAAATATTATTAGTCTTCGTATTTTTGGCGCACCGTCATCAAGTCAAACATAATATTTTATAATTTAACCGTACTCACTAATTTTTATGTAAGTATTAATCAATCATTAATTATCAATCATATTAATTTATTTACTAGATCCAATTAAGGTTATTATTCTTGTTTTTGAAAATCTCCTTAAGCTATTGCTTATTTGTTTGAAGCGTTCTTCTTATTTTCAGATCCATAAAAGACTAAATTATTATAAAATAGTTGTTTCTACATTATTATAAAATTTATATTCGTTTGTCTTGTTCGTTTTGTTAGCCAACGTGCAAGTGTATTTTACCATTATACTTTTCTAAACGCATTTGCGTTCAAAGTAAACAGTTTTTTTCTTGTTAAATTATTATTTAAATTAAATGGGCACAAATCAAAAATCTTTAATATTTTATTATTTAAAATGTGTGAAATTCACCACGGCTCCTTATTAAATCGCAATTGCGATTCGCCAACTTTATTAATTATTATCATATGCGTAAGCGCTAAGTTTGTTTATTATAAAATATGTTATTATGATTTTATTGTGATGTTAAATTATATTGGCTTTATAACACTGTCTTGTCAACTTGTATACTTGTATTAAGATCAACAGGTAGCAACTGGAAAGTCAACGCGTCTACATATTGAGAGTAATTATAAAATTATTATTCATTTGTCGTTATATTGTTAAACCAGCTCAAACAGCTTCATTGGGTTTTTCTTGATAATTATTATGTATATTATAGTATTGTTGTCAATCCTGTGGGTTATTCATATTATTTTTCTCAAATTTTTATTTATTTGGGAAATAAGTTTTATTTGACAATATTATTATCGACTAGGTATGTGGATCACTGACGTAGATTACCCTGCCCCCCCCCTCCATTTTGACTTTCGAAATTTTTTTTGTGCCAATAATTAGTACTGAATTCCTGCTGATTCCTGACCCCGATTTCATAATTCCTTCTCAACTAGTAAAACTTCTAAAACTTCTAAAACTTCTAAAACTTCTAAAACTTCTCAAACTAAAACTTCTAAAACTTTCTCTTAAAATCTAATTTTGTAATTCTGTAGTAATGTAATTAAATTTTATTAACTTTTTGCAATTTTTTACTCAATTCCTGCCAATTGCTGAGCAGACGGAAAAAAAATGTTGGTATGGTAAATGGTTAAAAAAATAATAGTTGATATTACCATAATTAATTGGTTATAACTATGCTTGTTTGGTGAAAAATACAATGTAGTTTAAGTTGATAACTTATAGTTAAATTGTCCAAATTAATATGTACGCTTAATATTTCCGAAAGTTATATCAACCATTTTAGTATGTTTTAGATTCTGAGTGAAACGATGAATGTATTGATTTTACAATGATGTGTGTTTTTTTTTTAATTTTTTTAATTTTTTAATTTTTTTTTATTTCAAAAAGTGTAAAAATTTAATACAAGGCTCCTGATATATTGTTACAATATCAGTTGAAAAATATTAAAAATACATAGGCACAGATTTTTTTTATAAGCATTTAAAGATCGAATTTTGACTAAATTTATCAAAATCTAAAAAATATATCAATCATTGTAATTAATAAATTATAAAATGTTCAGTTTTTATAGCTAAGGATTGCAAATTTAAAACAAAGGTTCTCATAAATAGTTCATACTGTAACCAAAAAATCTAAAAAATATATGAACACAGTTATTTTTTACAGACATTTTAAATTAAAATTTGGACGAAATTACATATTAAAAAACCTAGAATAACTATTTTAGTTATTTGGTTGTGTATGAATAATGTTATTCGTGAGTACTTGAAACTTCTAAAGTGTACTATTACAGTACTCCCTCGTTAACACGAACTCGGTTAACACAAATTATTGTATAACGCGAACCGGTTTTTCAGTCCAGAGAAAGGCTCTATACTATAAGATAGGGGTTTTTTTATTTCCTCGGTTTATACGAATTATTTCGGTTAACACGAAACTCGAACAAATTTTAGGTACCATATTGTCGTTTTGTTGATTAACACGATCAGAAAAATGTCAATCTGTACATATATATCTAATTTCGTTTTATTACTCGTATACTAGTCGTTAGTAATTTAATCTTTATAACACAGTTTTATCGATATCTTATCTTATCCCTACTATGTATGTACATATTCTCTATTGTAGGTACATACATATGTATACATGTGTACAGTGTACATTTGTATGTGTGCAATCTAGTTCGGCAACTAATTTTAGTAGAAGTCGAAAAAGGTACACTGCCTAAAACCAAAATCGCGGAGAAATTTGGCATTCCAAAATCAACATTATCAACAATTATTAAAAATAAAGATAAGATTGACGAAGCAGTTGCGCTTGGTTCAACCAACAGTACAAAGCGTCTACGAAAACCCATGCTTGAAGACGTTGAAAAGGAACTTTTATTTGGAGGAACAAATATTTGTTTATATGTAGTATGTACCAAAAAAATGTAAATTTTTATTTTGAAGATTACTTAATAAAAAAAATGTATTTGAGTGTAAAATAACGTATTAGATTTAACCTTCTCTGATAACACGAACAAATTCGTGTTAAACCTATCGGTTTACACAAATTTTTTTAACACGAACATGTTATTTTGTGGTCCCGTCGTGTTCGTGTTAACGAGGGAGTACTGTACCTATATATCTATGATAGTATCACGGTTTTTGTTGATGTATAACGCGTTATAAGTACTTAATGGCTATTGTGATAAGATTAATTTGGAATTTATTATAGGTAAATATTATAGGTCAAATTTTGGTTTAGTATAATAAAAATATGTCTTATACCTAGACTGACATACCGATACCTTCTCCGCTCAGAATCGTTTTTCTTATATAATGATATTATATCATTGAATTCAAATTTAATATCATCCATTATACAGTGATGCATTTGTAACCTACTGTACAGCAGAGCGACACCCACTTGCCCACCTTTTTTTTTTAATTTTAAAATTTTTTTTTATTTATTTTTTTTTTTGTGTCTGTTATCACGTTTTAGGACAGTAAAAGTGCTTGGATTTTCTTCAACAGTAGCTTTTCTGATAGGAAAGTGAATCTAGTTGGTACTTTGGGGGGTCAAAAGGGGAGTCAAAATGTAATAGTACTTTTCACAAGAGCAGGGAAAAACAACATAAAAATTAAGGATAAACGGGAATTTTTAAGCAAAATCGGTTTTCCAATAAATCGATTTTGGTTTTTGGTTTAACTTTAAAACAAATGAACGTATATACATGAAATTTTCACTGGTTGTTTATATTTGCATTTTCTATACACGATACAATTTTCAAAATATTTTGATTTATTTTGAACTGTTTAGGGACATTTTCATTTTCCATTTGTTTTTAGTTTTTTTTCTAAAAATATCAATTTAATGTTATTTGTTCGTTGCGAAAGCTTGAAAATTTAATAGAAGACTCCTAGTATATTGTTTCAAAGGTAGATGAAAAATATTAAAAATCCTTTTTCACAATTTTTTTTTATAAGCATTTAAAGTTCAAAAATTGACAAAATATGGAAAAATCACGAAAATTAGCAAATTGTTTTGAGTTAATAATTCGTAAAAAATTTTCTTTTTAAATCTAAGATTTGAAAATGTAATACAAGATTCCTTATAAGATTACTAGCTGATCCCGTGCACTTCGTTGCCCCGTTAAATGTATCAATTCTATATGTCTCAAAGTTTGTTCAATTCGTTATTTAATATTCGGTGTATGCGGTGTTCAAAATTAATCTTAACTTTTTTGTTGCCCCGAATAAAAATTCTGATTCGCAGCAGTAAATAGATCGCGTACCCTGTGCTGTTTGTACGTAAGTGTATGATTTAACTCTAAAGTATCAAAGTTACACCAAGTTTATCGTTTTTACTTCATTTCGCCTAAGGTGGATTATTATAATCATTTTATACAAAATCCTATCCTAACCTAACCGTACTAAAACCCGATGAAAAAAAAACAAATTTAACCCTTAGTAAATTAACCTATCTTCTTCCCAGACGTCTAATCTACCCACAAACATTAATTTATATATATTTATATATATAACTATAAAAATACACGGACTATAACTATACAGACTCTGGAACTACTTATTGGATCTTTTTGTATTTATTATATATATATAATGATATATGTATACCTATTGACAAAAAATAATGATACAAATCAAAAACATGCCCGATTAACCAATAGCAACCGATATAATATAATACACTGGTGGATTTTCCTAACTTTTTTTTTTTCATATAAACCTTATCCATTAAATACTCTTTCATTTAAAAAAAAATAAAGAAGATCTGATAAGAAGCTCCAGAGATAAGTAGTATAGAGATTTTCATTTCACATTTTTATAGTTAGATATTATATTACAATTTATATTTAAAAAGTAAAGCAAATAGTTTTTTTTTATTATTATTTTTATTATTGCAATAGCTTAAAAACCCATGGCAACCTTTTATAAACAAAAATTTCCATCGGAAATCTCAAAATTCTCGTTTGAGCACCTCCCGGGGTTGGTCCTCTCCCTTTTTAAATTAGCCTATCTTTTAAGTTGGACCAAATTACACGCGGTGTAAAATATTTCATCAAAATCGGTTAAGTGGTTTAGGAGTCCATTGAGGACAAACATTGTGACACGAGATTTATATATATTAAGATTTCTACCTTTATCAAAACAAAAATGTCTATAAGAAAGTCAAATTAAATTTTTATGAGCGTTTGAAATTCAAATTTTTACAACATTGGATATTCACTCGTTTTCTCATGTGGCGATTTCCTTATTTTGTTGTAATTCAAAAACGAATAACTGTAGATACATGAAAATTTCACTGAATGTTCATATTAG